TCCCCCTAATCACAAACACCACGGCCCCTCTCACAAGAACCCTCCCCATTCTAGTATCAGTAAAAAGCGGGGAGCATGTGTTATTAGAGGGCATGCAGGCAGGGGAGGGGTGTGTTATCAGGGGAGGAGATTAACAAGTTTAGGCTCAGGGCTTAATGCTTAGGGTCGGCGACTCAATCAAAATCGCAAATGATCACAGCTATTCCTCTTAAACCCTAAACCCTAAACCTGACACAGCTGCCCCAGTAAATGACGTAGTGGGAGATTTGGCTGGGATCCTCCGCGCCGTCGAGAATGATGGTTCCACTTACCTGCGTATGAATGGGTTTAGGGTTTAGGATTAGGGTTTAGGATTAGGGCTGAACCCTAAACCCTTTGCCCTCTGTTCTGGTTTGAGTACATGGTATTACTAACAGCTAGGCATCTGTATCTAAGAAACGAAACCAAACGTATCCAGAGAAGACAGAACTTCTTGAGTGTTAAACCCCACTTATTAGCCCCCGCGATTCTAGCTGGGCAAAAAAGTACCAACTTCAATTCGGCTATACCTACCCTTAGCCCTAAACTTACGGGGGACTAGTAGGGAACAAGAGAATGTATGTGTGTACATATGTATATATATATATAGTATAGGGATTATATGGGGTTAGATTCTCTTCCCTACTTGCCCCAGTAAGCAAACCCTAAACCCAACACCCTGAAACCCTGCTAAACCCTAAAACCTTAAGCCCTAAATCTCCCAAGTACCTGGCCGGAAGCCGGGTCCGTGTCTCGGAAGTACATACCCTGAGCAGTCTGCGTCGGCGTTGATGCATCCCCAACCAGGACGGAGGCGCCTCATATTTAGGGCTTAGGGTTTGGGGTTATAGGGCTTAGAGTAGCTTGAGTTTTAAATTTCGCAAGGGCCTCAATGATTCGAACAGGCCCTGGATAGGGACTATGAAGTGAACTACACATACAGGGATTATGTATTGGCATGGATGGCACTGCGTGGGGCCCAAATACCTGTAGCAGAGTATAGTCATGGCTAGGAAAATGCTATGAGGAAACGGTCGTCCTTAATCAGGCTTCCACATAAATTCTGGGGGTCCGCATAGTGAGCAGAAATTGGTGTTCGTTTGTTTTATTCAGAAACCTAGGCATCCAACAAATGGGGTAGGGCCTGAGACTGCCCTAGATTGTCGGGACTACACCAGGATTCCTCAAAATTTTTGCGGCTAGAAACCCTCAGTACTTTACAATTCATGGACCCAGGGGTATACCCAAAATCTGATACCCTAAATGTACCTTGACCTCAATAGTAGCCAAACCAGGAACCCACCTGAAACTGGGCCAAACTGCCAGTATTCCAAGTAGACCTTAGCCCCTAAACCTAACCCTAAACCCGTAAACCTAAACCTTAAACCCTCAATCCTAAACCCTAAACCCTACATCAACACAAGCCCAAAATGGGTGTTTCCCAAAATTAGGGATACTTCTTTGGGGGTCCCAATAATAAGGATTATAATATTTTGGGGTCTATATTGGGGTCTCTTTATTTTGGGAAACTATTTTGGGAAATTATGTTGGGAAACTATCAAATCTCAAATCCTAAACCGACCTCCCGCCCTAAACCCTAAACCCTAAACCCTTAAACCGACCTCCCCTCCCGCCTGAGGTACTCTCGCCTTCCTGGTCATAGGCTCGTGCCAGCAGGTGGGAGGCCCCTTCTGGGACGGTTAGGTTGCTCACTTGCCAGGCACCTCAACTGGGGGTTCCCAAAATTAGGGGTACTATTTTGGGGCTCCCTGTACTACGGAATACAGTGCTTTGGGGTATGTATTGGGGTCCCCTTATTTAGGGGAACTGAATCTTAAGGGATTCTTTGAAGGACCCTTTTGCATCAGCGCCTTTAGGATGTCGGATATTACGGTACAGGGTTTAGGATCTAGGGTTCGGGGTTTAGGGCTGGAGTGGAGAATCACATGGAAAAGCAGATGGGGAATGAAATGCAAACTACTACCTTGTTGAAAGAATTTAGGTTTTAGGGTTGAGGAATGAAAGCACCGCGATAGAAACTACTATGCTATTCGGGGTTCAACAGGGCTAAACCCTAAACCCTAAACGCCCTAATTAAACCCTACACCCTGAAAACCCCGCCCCTAATATCAAATAGCTTCTCCAGAGGACGAAACATCCTGAAGAGGAAGACTACTGTTAAAAGGGGCCAATGGGGATCTCCCTACTTCTGAAGGAGGGGGTGTTCTGAGGCCATTAGGTGGCCTATGGTGGCCTATATACTGAGGAATCAGAAAGGATAAGGGGCATCTGTAATTTCCTAGCGTTTTTTTTTTATATTTTCTAAATGGAAAAATAAGGGAGCGCATATAGAAGAATCTACTGGAAATCTTCCTGGAATGTAGGATCTCCTTAGTTTCCCGCTTATTTTGCTTATAAAGCGTACATGCGGGATGTTTTTTGTATACCATGAACCATACATCCCGGTTGCCCCCTCCCTCCACCCCTTCATGAATCGTGATATAATTCAGAGCTCAGCATTAAAGATGGGAATTCAATTGCTTTTTCAAGGACCAAATACCGCCTCAATCTTGAGCTAAATTCACAATTCGACTACATGAGGGACATCTTGATGTACTGGATGTTATTCTTAGCAAACTCTATTTTGAAAAAGAATATGAAGAAACCCAGATTAGACTTCGAGACCTCTTTGATGTTCTAGTTTCTTGCTGTTCCCTCGGCTCTGACAAAGGAGAGTGAATAACAGCCATAAAGGCTATACATGAGGGAACTCCTTATCTCCTTCGACTCCTAGGCTTTTTTGTATTCGTGACAGAAGATGTTTCCAAAGTGGACTTAAAACAAAACTATCAACGAAGTATGTAGTTCATGAACTAGTTCATAGTGTTTTAGTGGCTATTAGACGAGGCTCTATCAAGTTCTTTCGATGATATTCCCCGCTAATTAGCGAAAATTTCGAGAGCTGAATCATTTAGAAATGGGTGGGGTGGCGGGGAGCTTTTTAATATTCGGGGAGGCGAGCATCGGGTTCAGGATTATGTTACCTTATTACAAAACCCGATGCAAAAGCAAATGGAATGTGAAGTGGAAAACGGAGGTGGCCAGGGACGAATGGGGTGAGAACTTAGTCATACTCTTTGGGGGAACCGGCGTATCCCCTGTGAGAATGCTACTCACTGCACCATGCATTGAGGCTAGAATAGGTTGGCAAGAAAGTCTTCTAGCGATCTCTCAAGCACCCACCCGAAAGGGCCAATGATTTGTGAGAAACCCAAGGCCCTTCAAATCCCTATATGTCCCTGTAAAACCCTAAGCCCCAAAATGCATGAATTGGGCGTCCAAGCACATGCCCCAGCTTGAGCCACACACTCGCCCACAAGGGAGCTGTCCATTGGGCCGTGCCGCAACACCTGTGGTTTCGGGTTTACAGTCTAGGCTAACCAATTGTTTTGGTAGTTTGCATAAATAAGGGACCCTATCTAGACACCAAAATGCTCTAATTCATACAATTGGGACCCCGAAATGGTACCGCAGATTTTGGGAAACTACCATGTAAACCCTTGTTTACGTACTCCCATTGATAGGTTCAGGGCTCATTGTTTTGGGCTACACCCGTACTTAACCCATCTCTCGCCCTCGCGTGAACACTTGTCTTTTTGCTGCGGCATACTCTGGGGGTGTAATAACCCCCAGCGCTGGGATCGCGCAACTCCCATTCTGACTGCAAAGCAGCATGGGACAAGCCACAAGTAAGTCCGTGTTTTTGCAGCTCAGAATATTCTGAGCCCGAATGCATGGGGTTTGCATTTTTTGTGGGGCTCTGGGGCGATCTGTAGGATGTGACGCGATACCTGAATGTGGCAGCGAGGCCACTTAGGATGAAAGAGCACCCTCATGCCCAAAAGGAGGATATGGTAGTTTCCCAAAATAGGGGGACCCCAATATAGACCCCAATATACTATAGTCCTTATTATTGGGACCCCAAAATGATACCCCCAATTTGGGAAACCCCCATATAATCTTACTCCATACTGGGTACCATAGTATTCACGGACTTCGATGTTACAGTATACTGGGTTCCATAGTACCCTCCAACAGAAACTACTCGCGTGAGCCGGTCCCATGACAGGCCTCGTCCGATATTGTTCATCACAGTTCAGAAGTTGGCAGGGTCAGTATGTAGGCTGTCAGGTTAGTGCAAGATGCTTTTCAGATGACCAATTTGGGTTTAGGGTTCAGGGTTTAGGGTTGGACTGCTTTATTCAAAGGAGCCCATTGAAGCCAAAGTCACAAAGTCCAGGGCCACTGAAAGCTACATGCCACAAATGAGTTCAAGCCAAATGACAACCAAACCCAAAAGCAAGTGAAATCCAAGTATTAGAGCAGGCGAAAAACACACGCTTGAAGCCCAAAGGACCCCACAAAAGATGGGTAGGCTCGCTAACTAAACTGGGCTTGCCCAGCACAGCCCTTCTTGATTCCAGCGTTTCATTGCAAAGCTGCGGGTAACTTAGAGATTTAGAAGTCAACTGTATGAACATGTGGGAAAACCGACTCATGCCGGATGGACTTCCATGGAACCCCCTAGCAGCAACCCAGGCACAGTTGCTGGCACCACGGTTCGCACGTTTCCGGTTCCCGGGCCGCTGTACTCAAGAATGATGCCTTGGTCGCCGTCCATCTCGAAGTACTCCACCCTGATAGAATGCATGCCTGGATATAAGTAGGCATCTCCACTTAGAGCCTGCATTCCGTGGAGTCCATCGTTGTTCACGATGAGCACTTCGTTGATGTACAGCCTGGGTCACATATGGGATACGACGCCCTTTGATTCCTGAACGAGCATATTTTCCGAACAGGCGAATTGACTAAGTATTCGAGGGTTCTCACAAAAAAAACAAGAGCAAGCCTTGCGCAAATGAACAACTGATTCACTGGGGGTTCTCCGTAACCTGACAGTTTGGGTTCCAAAGTGTTGCAGATTACCAACTCAGTGATTTCAAAATACCTAGGAACCGGCTCCCCTCATCAGAGTTCAGTGTGAAGATGTAATTGCCGCCTGTGGCAATGCTGATGTAGCCAGTCCTGGGTTCCAGAACACACTGGGTTCCAGAACACAGGCACCTCCTCTTCATACTAACGCACCCCCAAGACTACGGTCCCTTATAGGAAAGCTTCATGCTACGGATGGGTTGTTTACTTTGGGGGAGGTGATGAAGCCTGATGAGAGCAGATATCTAGTTTGAACGAGATTAAAGATCAAGCTTGCATGTCTTGCACAGTGACAATATTTCGTGCTCTTACTCGACAAAGGCCCACACACACTTCTTAACAACGATCATGTTTCCACCTTGCAGCAAACTGATCCTCAACCGCCACGCCCGGGAAAGCGAAGCTGGTCTGTGGATGCCACACTTGGTTCTCCACTTGCCTTGGCTTATAGGGAGTATAGGGTTTATATAGGGATTATAGGGGATATTTTGGGGTAATTTTGGGATAATGGAAAAGGAAATGGAAACTACTATTTAGGGTTATAGGGTTTAGAGTCCCCCTTAAGTAGATAGAATATGGCTTTGGGTATATTACAATAAGATCCCCATATACCCCATATTCTATCTACTTAAGGGGGGCTATAGGTTGATTTTGTTTGGATGCATGAGGGTGCATGTGTGCTACAGTCAGTGCTGCTTATGCAGTCTTCCCTGGCTGATGGACATGCCGGCTTCTTGGCGAGTATACCCTTGATGACCATAAAGAAACTTATTGCCACCCCTTGCAGTTCCTGGCCACCAGAATACTCACGTAGGGTGCGCATAAGTCGCTACCCTGAATGGCCATTTCTGGATCCCTGGCTTATTTGTTTATCTTCCGTGTTACTTCGGTTCCTTCGCACGACAGAAAACATAGAGAAAGAAACTGCCACACAAAACGTATTCAGGAACTTCTTAGAATCTTCCACGCTACCCTGCTTTCAGGAGCCCCAGATCTGGTTCTTCATTCAGCGATTATTTACAAATTATAGCATTTGAGTACTTCGTAGGATGTAGCATGATGCACATGAATGTTTCTGTTCATCAATGTGGCTTCCCGAAAATGGGGGTACCGTTTTGGGGATCCCAATACCAAGGATTATGGTATTTGGGGGTCTATATTGGGTCCCCCTATTTATGGAAACTACCCAACCAGGACCCTAAATTTTGTCCATCAGGGACCCCATCTTCAATTCTCTTGTGGAATGAAACCCTAAGCCCGAATCGCAAAAACCCTAAATCCCTAAGCCCTAATCCAAAACCCCCTAGATCCTAAACCCTAATTAGTCTCATAAGAATCCAGTGGCAGGAGGTCGGGTGGTGGCAGGGCATCCAGGTTCGGGATGACTTCATAGCCATTTGATGTCCTGGGCTTAAGTCATAGGGACGAAGGTGTTGGGCTATGCGTTTAGGGCTCAGGGGGGTTAGAGCTTCCGGGGCTTGGGGTTCGAGAAAGGATTGAGGCCTTAGGCTTAGGGCTTAGGGCTTAGCATTTCAGGCTAGTGCTGATAAAGCAAATTCAGCATAACCTGCTCATACCAGAATACATTCGTTCCCAATGTATGAGGTGCTTGGGGTCCCATGCACGGCTTTTTGACATCAAAGGTCGGATATGAGAGCTGTGAGAGCTTCTAGAATAGATATCTGTTTCATATTTGGATGCTATAGTTGTAAAGGCTCTCGTATTGGATCCCTGCAAACCGGCAGGGTTTCCATACGTTTTCAGATTACATCTAGGTAAGTATGTTCGTACATACCAGTGATATATATATATATATGTATATACAATCGTAGCACAAACGGGATGTAGGTTATAGCTCGGTTGTAACTTGAGTCTTTGAAACCTAGGAATAAGCTAGTATTTTCCTGAGGTTTACAGGCCAGTGTCAGATACCAGTACTCCGCCTGGAGCCCCGGGAAGCCACCGGGCACGGGGTGTGTGCTGTTCCTAGGTCCAGATCTGGAGCAAAAGACACATTCTCTTTACATATTAACAAGTAGGGAAGGATGCGCCCTTCATCTATGTTACTTCTTACCTCATACAAGGACAGGGATAAGAAGAAGGAAAATCAAAGACTCATCTCACCTGAGGTTCTGTCCCCAGTAGACCCGGAAACCTGACACGGAGGCGGCCGTCGAGATACTGATTTGTCCGCCAATGACCCCGGTGCCCAGGTCTGTGTCGGTGAAGGTAAAGGTGTCAATGGCAAGCTGGTTGGGGGCTACGTCTTGGATCGCCAAGGCAATGGAAGCATCACTCTCGATGAGGTCATAGGCCAACTTGACGATGAAGTGTGTCCCCACCAGCGGCTGTGGAGCAATTGGCAAGGCAAGGTCTTGCTGGCCTTCTGGCTTGGGTAGGCTAGCAATGAGGCCAGGACGACCTGAGCTCACTCCTTGGTAGACGTAGGTGAAGCTCCAGCCTCTGTGGGTAACACTGAAATCCGAACTCCATGTGGCTACATGCACCCCTTCGGACAAGGTGATGGTGTTGGCCGGGGTGGTGAATCCAGAATAAAATGTGTCCAGGAGCTGGAGCTTGTCACAGCATCGCTCTGTGTGCAGGTACGTAAAGCGAATCTCGGCCGGCCCGAGCAGGGTGATGGACGCCTCCTCATTGTCGCTGTAGGACGAGCGTGATACGGTCCATTCGCCGCTTCCTTCAGTGATCTGAATTGAGCTGCAGCTTGGACCACTACACGTTGGACGGGTGTCACTCAAGCTGCTCACACTGCGGGAGGTTAAGTTCAGGATCTCCGTAGCGCTGGAGCCCCAATACACGTTATAGAAGTTCACCTCTTGCTCTGAAACGGCACGCTTGATCAACAACATGCCGGCAATGGAGTCGGGTGCGGGATCTACGTCCGTGAAGTTGAGCGATTGAGCAGCCCCAGTGGGACGGATGAGGTCGGAGATCTCAAGGCTGATCCAGGAAATGGAGTCGAAACCGTTCAAAGACTGGGCAAACGCCAGCAAATGTGTAGCTCCCATTGGAACCATGGTCCCCTGAGGTATGGCCCCAGTGAGGTCCGATCCTGCCTTGCTCAAAACAAGCAGCGCTGGCCGCACCAGCGGCCCGTGCCGGGCAACTGACCAAAGGCTCACATCCTAGGATTAAAGCTGGCTATAGTCCCCCTTAAGTAGATAGAATGTGGCTTTGGGTATAGTATATTAAGATCCCCATATAACCCACACTCTATCTACTTAAGGGGGGCTATAAGCGGAAAATGAGATCGTGGATGCCATTTTGGGCTTCAAATCCATGAAGGGGACCCCACGGCTAGATGTAATGGTGTGGATGGCATGGAAGACAGCAAAAATCTACTAATTTGGGCTTCTAAACCCTACACCCTGAATCCTAAAACTTAAACCCTCAATAGTAGTTTCCATTTTACCTTCCATTATCCCAATACAAACCCAATATAGCCCAATACAACGCGGGATTTTTAGGTACTAATTTGGGCCCAGATTCCATGTAGCCAGTGTCAGGACCATTCACCTGGACTGAGAGTCCGGAGGCGCCGCGACATTGGTAGTATTCTACCTCCACCTGGGTTGCGGTTCAGGAGCGTAAAGTAGGTTACCATGATAATATGAGTACATAGCAAACAACAGGGCTTGCTTATTATAGTAACTCAAGTCCTTAACAGCAACCCAGCCACACTGTACACTCCTGCGCGCAGAGGCAGTGAGCCAGAGGTAGAAGTTGCTCCAGTGCTGCCGCTTGTTGAGGCTACCACTTCTCCATCGATGAGGAGGCGTGCTCCATCGTCAGAATTCCTGGGTTGCTGTTAAGGAACTTAAATCAAGTTACCATAATGGGTAAATATAAGGATAATGGAAAAGAAAATGGAAACTACTATAATGGGGTTATATAGGGTTCAGGGTTTAGGGTTTAAGTTTCCATAATGGGTATATATAGTAAATAGTAGGGTTTCCCCAATATAGTAACTTACTTTAAGTTCCTCAACAGCAACCCAGATTCATGGTCAGCGAGTATGACCCTGGAATGACCACTGCCACTCTTCCCTGCCACCGGGCAGCAAAGTACTCGCTTCGATTGACACCCGGCCATGCAAACAAGGAACCCAAAGGCCGAGCAAAGGAGTAGAGGTTCTCCGATTCTCCCTGCTGGAGGATGGGATGACCTAGCGAAGCAAAGTCCACAGAGCAGCTGGTGCAGGGGCAGCTTGCCATCTCGAAGAACTCCGCATACAATCCTGGCTCCCCGCCATCCAGCTTCGTTGAGTTGCTCTGACCCCAGTAGATCGCGTAGCCGGAAATCTCTGACTCGTCTGTGGCCGCACCCACATGGATGGTCCCCTCAATGAAGCCTGCCATAGGGTTCGTATCCTCGAAGGACAGGTTGGTGGCAGAGACGTTGACCGTGCTGTAGTCCAAGAGTGCCACCCCAGCGCCAGTGGCCATTGTGATGTTCTCATAGGCGCTGACGACCACCAGATGGGTCATGCTTGCGGGTGCTGTCGTAGATGTCAACATCAAAGTACCATAAGATCCGCGAAGGGATGTCTTCTGGCAAAGGGTCATGAAGTTGGTGCTGTTTGTGGAGAAGCTCTGGTCCCAATAGCCCTGGTCGATGTCTAGCCCGAAGTATTCACATCCTGACTCAACGCAGTTTTACTGTATCTTATGGGGTTTATTGGCATCAATCTTTCACGTCGGCCATGGTCCTGTAGTAACTACATGTCCCTCATTCGCGTCAAAGGCTCTCCGGCAAACAACTAAACCCGAAACCCCCGATCCCAAATCCCTTGAACCACTAGTTAAGCCCGAACTTAAACCTAAACTGCCCTGTCCTGATGTAAACTCTGGGTATATATACATGGCGAAGCCGGCACATGTTGGCAGCCCCGTCAGGCAGAACTGCTCGCAGCTCTGCTGCAATGCCCGCACCTCAGGATTCCCGAAACAACGGCTACGTGGAGGGTTTGGGGTTTGGAAAAGAAAATGGAACTACCTGGACCCCAACAGTATGTAGAATAATGGCCTGTTGGGCTATGTTTAAGGGTTTCGGGGGTCGGGGGACTTAGTAAGGGGAAATTGGATAGCTGGGGCTATTAGGGGTTGCAAGAAATATACCACGTAGTCCCCGCCCAGAGATTGTGAAGTTCCCTTCTGAGGATAATATGAAAGATTGTGAAATTTATGGTACGGGTTTTGGTACCCTAAAAATCTGAGGAGATCAAAAAACAAAACGATAAGGAGCATGTTTTGAGAAGCCCCCAACCTCTGGAGCATCCAGCGAATACGCGTTCTGCACATGGGACCATGTGGCAGTCAATGCCATTGCCCCAGTAAAGTATCCCTGGTACCAGGGAGGTTTCAAGGTTAAGGATTTGGAGGTTCGGGGCTCAGGGATTAGGGTTACTTGGGACCCTCATCATCATACCCCCATGGAGATTTGCTATGCACTTGTACTATGGGCCTTAAACTGCCAGGAACTATTTCTTGGAGGGTTTTGGGGACTTAGCAAGTAGGTTCATATTCAATGGGGATAATTGGGGTTATTATATGAGCCATTGTCTAAACCCCTAGTATCCCCCTTAATAACCCCTATAGTAGTCCCCTATATATTCCTTTATATAACCCCCCTTTAAGAATTTTTGATGATATCTCATATGGCTTATAAGGGCTGGTAAACTACTTAGTAAGTCCCCATGACTCTCTGCCTCCTTTAAAGGCTATTGGGGCTTTACGGCGGCTTCTTGGAGGTGCCTATATCCAAAAAAACCCAGACCACCATAACCAACCCAAAGTACCTAGCTTTGGCCCACATATACATTGGGATGTATTCTTACTATTAGTACATTATTTCTGTTGTTATTCTTATTACTACTATGAGTGCCTAACATACTCGGGAAAGCCTGAATCAAATCCTGCTTCAGAATTAAGCCCGCCCCACTGCCCTGACGATAGCAATTCCCCCTGTGCAGACTGGCACCATGTTGGGAAGCGAACCCTGGAACCATAATACAAAACCCCAAACCGTCGCCATAAACACCCAGCCCCAAACCCTTCGGCGAACATTAAACTCGAACACTTAATCCCTTAACTTGCCGGTGGTTAGTAGGGAAACAAGGAATTTGTATTCCCCACTAACCTCCAGGAAGTATAACATCCCAAAACTCAAGCCCCTAAAACCCTAAACCCTAAACCCTATATACCCCAAACACTAAAAGCCCTAAACCCTAAACCAAAGGATCGCACCTGGGATGGTGTGCACTGGAAGGAGAGGTCCACAGAGATGCTGCTCAGAGGGCCAAGGTCCAGAGCTGGGACCGTGGCACCTGTCATATTGGTTTAGGGGGTTAGGGTCTAGGGTTTAGGGATTTAAGGTTTAGGGTTTAGGGGGTTTAGGGTTTAGGGATTAGGGATTTAGGGAGTCAAAATTTCTTACATAATTTGATGGACATGGGGTTCCGACTCTATTAGGACTTTACTAAACTATAACAGGGACACCCAGGTCCACCCTTAAGGGCCCCTTAGTAACCCTGATATTGACAGTCGCTCATAGGAGCTATACAGGTCGAGGGCTCAGAGTTTGAGGCTCAGGGCTTGATGGAAAAGAAAATGAAAAGTACGTCTCTATAATAGGGTGAATGTGTGTGTATAGATATAGGCGTTATACATAAGGAACAATGGAAAAGAGACTGGAAACTGGTATACTATAGTATTATACCTACTGGGGGTTAGTAGGGAATGCGGGAATGCATTTTTTAGAGTGTACATAGGGATTATATTCCCTTATTCCCTGCTAACCACCAGTTAAGACTACAGTCAATAGCTCCCATCTGTTTGGGCCGGGTTGGAATGAAAACTACGCATTGGGCAGTTACACGCGGGACGTTTGAATTCGCAGTGCACTTCTGTCTAATCGCGGAATGCAGATAGCTTGGCGGTCTACAGCGTGAATGCCTGGACAGGTAGACAAATAAAGTAATGCATGGATCGCAGGTTGTCATCACTATGGCCTCTTTTGGGTTCCTCAGTATAGGGCCCCTAACATTAAGTGGGCCCGAACAGGTGACCAGTTTTGACAATCTCTTACATAGCTGCGTAGGACTTGTGACATGTTCATTAGAGTTTTGGCTGGCAGGCCAACCCTTGAGTGTATGTGCCCCTTGTTTGGGTTATAAATGCTATTGCAAAGGGGATTGCCAAGGGCTTGTGCAGGATATCATGCTAGAGATTCGACAGTTTCTCAACGTCCTCGGTCTGTTCAGTGGCCATTGTCGCATCCCAGAGGTACAGAAACGATCGCTGAGCTCGTGAAATTCTACGGGTATACAAGCAGGCTCTAATTTTGAAAAACTTTAGGGTAAAGCCAAGGGGCCTAAGCTTGAGAAAGACCCGTGCATATCAGAGGAAAAGCCTGTGCAGCAAGCAAAGAGGGCAAGGAAGCTGCCAAGACGCTGGTACCCCAGTAGAGCAAGTACTGCGTGATGCTTTCTTCGTTCCTGAGGTTCAGAGAACAGAGGCCGCTTAGAAAGCTTGTTACCGCACAGGGAGTATAGAAGCACCAAGGAGTATGGTTGTAATCTCACGACTGTCTGTGGATGGGCTCATGTAAGCTTTGAAGTAAAGATCGCTTCAATTCGGCCCAAGGTTCTCGGAACGAAGGAAGGTCACCGGGCCAGCATAGCTCCCTGCAACAGGGTCAGCATCCACGAAGGTCACCTGGCTTCTAACAGGTACAACCGGGGCCGGTTACTAAGGGGGATACGTTGATTTTAGACTGTAGCTCATATGGTATACTCATACTCGAGGTTAGGCGGGTCAAATACTCGAAAACGTCAAGCTTCTACAATGCA